TTGTTTGTTGGCTGTCCATAGTACTCTCAGGCGTCTTCTGCAATACCAACTTTCAAAAGTCCCAATATTCTTGTCCCAAAGTTGTTTTTCAAAAGAACTTCTTGGATGAGAAGCAAAATGTTTTCAAGGAATAACCCAAGAATGTCCAGTTGTCTTTTGAAGCAGTTTTTAGACATTCATGACCTGGATGATTGAGAATCTCCATAAACATTCCCAACATTCTTCTTATCCTTCTTCACCAAAGTCCATGAGAAAAATTAGAGGTTCACAAAGTTCATCTCTCCATTAAGTGAAAATGTGACAAACAGTAGCTGAGTTAACCTCTGTTAACAAAAAACATATCTGCTATGCCTAACCCCCAAACCCACATAATGGCTTCATGTGATGTCCTACATCACATAACATGCAAAGACAATGCCTAAGTTCCCATAACACCAATGTCGAACTCCCATTTTAGTTGAATTCAGTGTGTTATGTGAAGTTTTGCTAACATGTTTCTCTGAACCACATGACTTCCTTTCAATACAAGCCCACACTTAAGTACAAAATGTCAATTTTGTATGCTTGCTTCTATGAAAAGTGGTTGTGTGAAGAAAGAGGCAAATTGTTTAGGTTGATGTCAGAGAGAGAGAGAGAGAGAGAGAGAGAGAGAGAGAGAGAGAGAGAGAGAGAGAGAGAGAGAGAGAGAGAGAGAGAGAGAGAGAGAGAGAGTTTTGTCACAGCCAATAAACAAGCTCTCATTGCCCAAATGTGAGGCAACATTGGTGGAGGGAAAAGCCCTGGATGCTGCTGCAGAATGTCATTAGCCATTCTGAGTGCAGAGCTGGTTCACCTCCTGTGGTGCACCCTGGATGGCAAGCAAGTGTGAAGTGAACAGATTAGCAATCTTAGACTACACTGTATTAACAGTGTAGTCTCCTGGCTAAAGTACCATTGCTATTCGTTGAATAAATAACAAGCTCTCACCCACTTATAAACAGGCATTCCTATATTGTAATGAATTATTTTAAACAGTCACAGAACTCTGGGCAGCTGATAGATATATTTTAAAAGCATACTGCAAACATATAAAATTATGTGATGGAATCAGGCACTTCAAGTCGATCACATTCAGTTCAATGAATCTTTACATTTTGGGCTAGATGTACAATAGCTGTGGATATTCCTCTGATGTTATTATGGTTCTCCTTCCCTTCACTGGCTGCTCTATCTCACCCATTGCTTGAATTTGCAAGCTCTTTTCAACAGAACCTTGGTTTCACTGAATATAAAGGCTATGCATATTCATGCTCACCTTTCTTCTACTCCAGTGAGGAAAAAAAGATGGTAGGGAAAAAAAAGGTCTTTAGAAAAAGATGGTAGCATTTGAGCTTCCCTGAGAAGCTTTTTTCTATCATGCTTGGCAATTACAAGAAGCCAAAAAAAAAATAAAAAAAAAAATGCAGAGCTGGTATCTAGATTACTGTGTATTGCTTTCTCCCCCATTCCTCCTAAATCACCTCGTTTATATTGAGAGTCTTTCAGCACAACAGTCTATTGTTGTTATTACAGTGTTATTATTTAAAGGCACTTTGAAAGACTTTAATATGAAGAGGCTGATATATTTTCATCCTGCTTTTCTACCAAAGGGGGAAGAGGAACGACATTACATGAAGTGCACACAAGTATTGAGAACCTGGGCTTGAATATCAAAATCCAGTCAATAGCATTAAGTCTTAATTGTGAGGAAACTGGAAGAAAAAGAAGAAAATGACCAGCAGCAGAATGGATGTATTTCTTCTACATTGAATCTTAACCAATAGGGAAGAACAGGGTGAAGAAATTAAGGCAGAACTTTGGGGAGGAATTACTATTACTATTACATTTTGACTGATTATGTGTCATCAAGTTGGCACCTGCTCTTAGCAACCACATAGATAGTCTTCTCCAGGATGATATGTCCCCAACCTGGCCATTGTTAGAATGTTGTTACTGGTCATCCTCTTTTTTTCTTATTTCCACTTTCCCAACAATTTAAACTTATTGAGAACCAGGGTTTTGTTTGATGTGTCATAAGAAGGAAGTAAGAAGGAGGAGGAGGAGGAGGAAGAGAGAAGCAGAAGCAGTAGCAGAAGCAGCAGAAGAGAGGAAGAGGAGGGTGGGAGGGGGAGGAGGAGGATGCACACTACATTTTAGAAGAGCCAATTTCACAAAACATGGAAATGAGCTCCAGACGCATAGAAATCTTGAGATCAAAGACTGCAAGAGAATTGGGGACTTCAGCAAAATATGATGAAGTACAGTCACATACCATTCCAATGGGAAAAAATGGGGGAATAGGATAGAAATTTGCTGTTGGAGGCACAGGGAGCTTTCCACTGAGCTTAGAATTAAAAGGAATATGTATAATAAATGGAAGGTGGGTATAACCACTAAGGAGATACACTGAAAGTTGCTAATATCTGCAGAAAGTTAGAAAGGTTAAAGCACAAAAGAAACTGGTCTGCAAGGATTTAATGGGTTATGTCAGTAGTAATAATTAGAAAAAGGGAAAGGGTGAACCAACTGCTAAGAAAAGTTGGGGAGAGGTCAAGCTACTCAGTGCCTACTTTATTTGTTTACTTTTAATAGCAATAGCACTTAGACTTATATACCACTTCATAGTGCTTTACATCCATCTCTAAGCAGTTTACACAGTCAACATATTGTCCCAACAATCTGGGTCCTCATTTTACCGACCTCAGAAGGATGGAAGGCTGAGTCAACCTTGAGATAATGAGGATTGAATTCCTGGCAGTGAGCTGAATTAGCCTGCAATACAGCATTCTAACCACTGTGACACCATGGCTCCTATAATAATAATAGTTTTAGTATTCATAACTGATTTCCAAGTTTGGTTTAACTTGAACAGCTGACAATACACCAATATGAATCAGTAGCCTTCCTACTTTAGTACAGCTTTACTTACTGATTTTCTGTTGATATTGTTCTTTTATTCTGACATCAGACCTATAATGGAGGTCATTTTAATCCTCCCCAATACTATATAATTTTAGTTGTACGCTAATAATCAAAATAAATATATATAATCATAAATTCACAGCATTAAATATAGAGAATGAATGCCCCCACCAAACACTTGTTAAAATAATGTAGTACTCTTGGCTTGCTTAAAGAATATTAACAAGGAAGGGGCTGTATGTACTGTTGCAGGGGAAAGAGTCCTGTAAAGTGGGAGCTGCCACATAGAAAGCCTACATCACAAATCTCACAAGTTCACTTTAAATGATCAGACTAGTCAGCTAGATTATATCTTAGAAAGCCCCTGATTTGGTCTTTTACTCATTAGTTCAAATGGACTTAAGTGGAACAATTGACTAAAAGGAATGGCAACACAAGATGGTTTTGGAGCATCTTGCTATCATGAATAACTATTAGTCAATTGTTATTGACTGGTTACATCTGGGAACCTTGAGGAGACATCTACATGTTTCTTCAAGGTTCCCAGATGTAACCAGATTGGTACATTTCTTCTTGGAACTTCTTTCTGTGACCTTTGAGAAATCTTGGAGGAGGGTGTCTTGTGAGACATTAGAGAATTGCAATTTCGAAAGTGAGGAGAAGAGGACCGTGGTAAATAGATGCTGATATTGATACCAGGAAAAAAAATTAAACAAATTATTTAGCTGTTTTTTAATGCATTACAAATGTATCTGACTATCACTAACAGTTTGCAAGCAGTCTATTGTGAAAGAACAGTGTTTTCTGTAAGGTACAGCTCTGGGCCATATAAATCTTTCTATTCCTCTCCTCTCCTCTCCTCTCCTCTCCTCTCCTCTCCTCTCCTCTCCTCTCCTCTCCTCTCCTCTCCTCTCCTCTCCTCTCCTTTATCCTGACTCCAAAAAGATCTTGGAGCATACAATATTAAAAGGAAATTAACAACAAAGAGGAAAGTATAGTGAGCCAACAATTCCCTAAATGAAGCTAGTGATATGGTATTTTAGTCATGTTTCCAAAAAGGAGGAAAAGGGGAAAATCAGACTTGCTCACAAAGAAATATTTAAAAAAATGGTGTTACTGCATAATAATTTAGGAAACAGTCTGGTTTTGCTGCCAATGCTGGGCATCCCACTGCATTTATAACTCTAATCTGGGATTGCAAAACTTATTTTTATAGATTCCTTCTCATCTTTATGTTATGTTATTATACTATCTTTCAGTGTTTCATATACACACCCAAATAAATAGACATGAATGAATCTATAGGCATATGTACTCCTTACCTTTTGAATGAAATTCTCCATCAGGTTTATTTCTTTAAACATTTCTAATGGCTTTAAAAGCAAGGTGGAGAAAAGATGGAAGTAAAGAAATAAAGAAAAGGAACTAAAAGCTGACAGTAATTTAAAGTTTTCAAATCCAAAACTAATTTTACCAATCTACTTTGTTGAATTGAGGAGAAATGGAACAGTGGGTGCAGTAAACCACTAGAAAACAATCAAAAGAACAGATGGGGAGAAAATCCCCAATTCAAATTAGATGAGTTAGAAGAGTGTGAGAAAGCCTTTGATGGATGCCTCGCAACCTTTTCATATTTTCTTTGATACCTTCAGAGAAGAAATAAATATGCAAAACTTGTCTTATTTTAGGTTTATATATGTGTAGAAGGTATTTTTATATTTTTTTTCTCTTTTGGATGTGAGCATATTTCAACTAAAACTACAAAGAATGGTAGAATGGTAGAATGCAGCCACAAAATAATGTAAGTGTGGAAGAGGGGAAAAAGAGCTAAGGTATTCACACAAAAAAGAAGATGGATGGATGGATGGATGGATGGAAGGAAGGAAGGAAGGAAGGAAGGAAGAGAGAGAGAGTATGTGTATGAGAGATTAGGATTTGGGAGAAGATTCCATTGATGGTATGGGGTCATATGCTCGCTCAAATAATTTCTTAGATTTTTTTTGGTCTAATTTTAAAAACAAAATTTTCTCAATAGCCCATTTCATTTCTCCTTCTGTCAGCTCCTTTGCAGGGAGAAGCAGATGGGAAAAAAAGAAACTGAAGAAAGAAAAGAAAGGAAATTGTTGGTTCAGTCTATCTTGATATAGCTTCTCCATCTGTCTCACTGCTCCAGGCTCCTAGGAGATGACTGTGAAGAGCACATTGAATGACCAGCCTCAAAAAGTAGTGAATGGTCCTGGGAGAAAACTCTAAATTGGTTTGGTTTCTGTTTCCATTGAAATTTATTACAAGTAATTCATACTGTCAAGTTGTGTATTTCGTACATTTCCTTTTTTTGTTCCTATTAAAATTATAGCACAAAGGTTCATTCTTCTAATGGAAAAACATTTGGGAACAAATTATCAGATACACTAGAGAGATGAGATTCTGAGCTGGGGGGATGGTTAATTTAGACTTTGCGGAACATAGGTTCATGTATCCACAGATTTTTCTTCAAATTTTCTAATAACTGTATAGAAAATATATTATGTATATTGTTACAAATCTCAGGAGCATCAAATTGGAATGCAGATTAAGTTCCCCAAATGTAGCTCATTAAAATAATAAGGGATAATAAGCTCATTCACCATAAGTGATATTTTAAAAAGCCCACATTTTCCATCTCAGAACCAGCAGCCTTAACCTCACCGAATCTAAATTATTATTTATCATAGTGAGCTAAGAAATCCTATTTTGACTTAGCAAGGCCAATCTCATTCATTTGCAAAGTAAGTGGTGATGGAAACAGTGAAAGGTTAGAGAAATGTGTAGTTGTTGTCCACAGATTTCATGTGCAACAACTGTGCAATGCCTCCTAGACTACATGGTGTACTTTGGTCTGGTCTAGGGTGCTTATCTAGCAGCAGAGGCACCTGTAAAGGAGATCAAAAAAGTCATGATGGCAGCTAACATTATGCAATCAGACCTCTGCCTCTCATTTACATGCTGTGAATGCCATGTTGACTTTTTTGACCACTGCTTGGATGACCCTGTCTAGCAGTAATGAAAGACAAATGACTTTGTTTTCATTTTCTGTGTAAATTGAACCCTCCCCCCCAGAATTAGGTCATGCACTATGCTAAAAATATTGTCAGTCCTGTTCAACTTAGTTGGACTTCTGAATTTATACAATTGGATTCTTTCTATGATTTGTCTTTGAAGTCGTCTGCCTGTCTTTCTGCCTGCCTGCCTGCCTGCCTACCTGCCTACCTACCTACCTACCTACTACCTACCTACCTACCTATCTATCTATCTATCTATCTATCTATCTATCTATCTATCTATCTATCGAAGGAGGCTTGGTTCTCAAACAAAGACTCGGTTAACCGTCATATTGATCTATGCCCGGCGAAACAAGCATTGAGGAAGTGGGATTTGAATCATCATCCCACTTGCTATGGACAACCTGGCTGATGCTTACAAGATCGAGGACATAGTGCTGCACCCGATTCCTGTCTCGAACAGACACATGAGACTCTAATTGACCCCCAACGCTTCATGGACACCTTCTCGGCATCCAGCCAACAGCAGCTTTACTCCAACGAACAGCTGAGGAGCCTGCTGCCGTTGGATACACATGGACGCTCATTGACAGCTGATCTCCCTCCAGAAGATAGAGGGGGGAGAACCCGCCAGACAGATGACTCGTACATTTCCCAGCAGCATCCCAATAGACCCCCACCCCTAAGATGGAAGAAGAACAACGGTGTTGATAGTAGGGAATCCGGAAGATCCAGCGATGAGATTCCAGAATTGGATACTGTTCACGACAACAAAGAGGGGTGCCCAATATGGAGAAGGGGGGGGAGGAAATACGGAATGACGACTCATTCGCATAGTAAAGGGGGGAAGTATCTTTCCCCCTCACCTCGTAGACGGGTGAAAAACCATGGACGAAGGGTGTTCTCAGCTGGATCCCTCCCAAGGCAAGTGTGAGAAGCCCGCCCTGGACAGGAGTAATGATCATCGGCAAACAGAACAACGGAAGACGGTTAACACAGAGAACGTTAGGGGGAATGGGAGCACAAGTGCCCAAGTGCGTAGCGCTCGCATAAGCACTATCCGTATGGGCAAGGAAGAGAGCAAGGATAATACAGAACAGAGAGTAAACATTGATCCACATTTAAAGGGGGTGGGAAAAAGTACCTGGAGCTCTAGTGAGACGGATAATAACATTAAGTGAAAATTAAATGCCCCCGAGACCCGCAGTAGAAAAAAAGATGCAATGGGAGTAAATATCATTGGAAGGAAGGACGATATAAGGGTGTTGACAAATCCAAATATTGATAATGAAGGAGCAGGTAAGAAGATCTGGAAGAATGACAGCAGGGAACGCAATACAAATACTAAAGAAACATCTGGAATACAAATTGATCGGCTGGGGCCAATGACGTGGTCTAAGAGCCGAGTGCAAATGTCAGCTAAACCTACTTAAGTCATCTTTGTTAACTGGCTTTTAGCCCTGACGATGTTGGGAGTTCCCAACGAAAGCTTGGTAGTTTTAGTAAAGTATTTTCTTACTTAGATCCTCCTGGTGGTCGCGTATTATTTATTTTATTATAATTATGTCCAGGAGTCATATTTTTACGGATATCATCTATCTATCTATCTATCTATCTATCTATCTATCTATCTATCTATCTATCTATCTATCTATCTATCTATCCCCATTTCATCCAGAGATGATTTTGTCATATGTAAAACCAAAGAGACCCAGTTTGGAGCCTCAATTAAAGCACCAGTCTAGAAACCAGGAGTTCTACTCCTGCCTTAAGCACAAGCCAGCTGGGTGACCTTGGGCCAGTCATTTTCTCTCACCCCCAAGAAGAAGGCAAGGGAAAACCACTTTGGACATCTTGCCAAGAAAATTGCAGGAACTTTTCCAGGCAGTTGCCAGGAGTCAATGCTGACTCAGAAGCACAAAATAAAAACAAAAACACACCCCCAACCCCAGAAACAATAACTGTGGATTCCTCAGATTCTTGGGTGCAACTCTCAGGCAGAAAGAATTATAAAGTATACCTATCAGGAGGAAGTACATTATACTAGCTTAATTAACAGAAACAAAATGAAATTAAATTTAGTTTTGTTCCGGCCTCTTCCACTAATTTTGGAATGCAGCCCTTGGCAGTAATGTGAAGGGCAGCTTTTTGAAAAATGTCAAGATGGCAGTTGTGATTGTGCTTTCAAAGACCCAGCCCTTTTTATGTGCAAAGTGACAGGGCATTGTTTGTACTGCTGCAGCTTCTATCTTGAATATTCTTGACTATTCTTTACACTCCCACAGCGCCTCCTGATTCTTAGCAGCTCAGCCCCCGCCACCCAAAAAATGTACATATTCTCTATCTCCCTGAGGAAGACATTTTTCTAAGATTTCTTTCATGGCCAGGAATCCTCTTTGTCCCTCAGCCGCTTTCCCCATTTCTTTTTCAATTTTCTCTGGGAAGCTCATATTAGCTGCAGTTTGGAAGAAGCAATCAAGCTATTTTCGAAGAAGGGAACTAATTTAATGCATGGATGGTTTTAGTTCAAACGAAGAAATAAGGACAGTCTGGAATCCTAAGGGAAGAGAGTAATGGGGTAATTTGCACAGACCAACAAGGGAGGGAGAAAGCAGAAATGGGCACACATCTTTATCAATCTTTTTGTGGTGTCCCTTTGTAGCTGTTAGGTCTCCTGATATCTCCAAGAGGCCCCTAATAAGATGGACATATTTAAAGGAGCAAGGATTGGAGGCCCATTTTAAAACTGATTCACCTCGTCTAAGATGAGTAGGGCTGTGTCCAGAGCATGGCTACTTTTTAAGACTTGAGAAATAGAATATTAATAAAGGAAAAGGAAGAAAGGAGCAGGGAGAGAGAAAAACAGAAATGACAGAGAACAGAAGGGATAACAAAAACAAAAAAATGAGCAGAAATCAAAGCTTATTTTGAATCAGTCTCTCTTACTTAATCTTCTGTATGGTTCAGTCTACAAAATCCACATTTCCCAGCCAGTATGATGCTACATTTAACCCTAAATACACAGAGTGTTAATTTTCTAACATATACCTTCCACCTATGCTGGGTGTATACATAGTAATTGACTTACAATCATTTGTTTAGTGACCAAAGTTACAACAGCATTGAAAAAAGTGACTTGTGACCGGTTTTCATACTTAAGACTGTTGCAGTATCCCCATGGTCATGTGATCAAAATTTGGATACTTGGCAACTGGCATGTATTTATGGCAGTTGCACTGTCCTGGGGTCATGTGATCACCATCTGTAACCTTCCCAGCCAGCTTCTGACAAGCAAAATCAATGGGGGGAAGCCAGATTTACTTAATGACCACACGATTCATTTAATGACTTCAGTGATTTGCTTAACAACTGTGGCAAAAAGTCATAAAATCAGGCACAACTCACTTAACAACTGCCTTGTTTAGCACCAAAATTTTGGGTTTCAGTTGTGGTCGTAGGTCAAGAACTATTTTACAATACACAGAACTTCCTTCATAAGTCCAACATATCTGGAAATCTGCTGGGGAAGGTAGCAGAAGTTGTTCACGCCAAGATCCTTGCAAGCTTGTCATTTGAGATCATTCTCAGATGGAGATGTCCAAAACTTAAATTGGGGCACTTCTGCAAGGTATCCTAGAGAGGGAAATACTGCCACAGTTCTGGAAATAAAGGATTTGTGAGCTGAAAAATCCTGTTTAAACTTTCCTTCTACTTTCAAGTAAGTATAGCCTCATTTTAAAACATGAGGTTCCCACAATTTGGCCATCATAGCCCCATTTAGTGTAATGCTAATGCCCTAAAAATCCAAACACCCAAATGAACAATGGAAACAATAGCATAAAATTTTGGGAAAGGTGGATGTGTTGTAACAATAACTACAAAGTTCTTCTCTTGACTCTGTGTCTCCCCAAAGGAGCTCCCCACCTCATAGTTTGGGAAATATTGTCTTCAAGGTAAAACTATTTATCATATTTATAACCTGCTTTTACTAAGAAAAGACGTGGATCTCCCATAAAAAAACTTTTTCCCATCACAACCCAAAATCCTTTGGCTGGATTTTGAGTATGCCAAACAGCTCTGTGGTCTAGTCAGTACTTGAATCTTGACACCTCCAATCCAAGTCCAATATCTTAACTACTCCACTCCACTAGCAAATATATATTCAATGCGGTCTTTGAGGCCATCACAACTCTATAAATTTGTTATTCAAAATAATTCTCCCATCTTGGCAGTCTCCCTCTTATCTATTTCTTCCTAGTCCTGCCAAACAATCTGTTTTACCCTTCCTGCATGTCCAATTCTGATTATATTTCTCAGGCTATCAT